CTAGAAATGAGGCATGAATATGTAAGCAATACTTAAAATATGAACCACTGGCTTCAGAATTGATGAGTTTCTCAGTCGATCATATAGCAGCCCAACACCACTGAACAAAGGAACTGAGTGCGTATAAAATTGTAAAGTTCCTGAACGCAATTTATGTACGAACTTGTGAGCCAGTCTATGATAAGTGCAACAGCATGAGCACTAAAACTTCTATTAATTGGCAGCGCTTGACCTAACATATCATCGTCCAAGATAAAGTTTTTGCGCGGCAATACTGTACGTTTCGTGTGTCTAAACAACTACCACCAACTAATATGAGTGGCCGAAAAACGCGCAGTCGACAATTTCAGGACACAGGCACTGCATCTTCCACCCATTTGACAGCCTCAACACGCTGAAAGAAGCTCGATCCCAGTTTCAAAGAGCTCAATATCTTTGGAGAAAAAATTGTTACTTCTTAATGCGGACAACGTCTTTAATATTGTGTTCAGAAAACGAATGCGTATCAAGATTCACTCGGAACGGTTTCTTACCTCTGATAGTATACTTTCTTCCAGTTAATAGCGTATCTTACAGATTGATTACAGGTGTACCTGTCAAAAATATTTCCAGTGTATAATTAGTTTTTGTAAATCCACTTTCCACTTCATCTTCGTTAATGAAACAAAACGCAAATAAAAATAAAGCGAAATTTTCGCATTTAAAGATTTGACTCCAGTCTCTTTTTTTGCCCCCAATCTGGGCCTATAGTAACTCACAAATAGGCAAGAAATACTTAGTACAAACTAGCAAGTTCCATCGTGGATTACTGCTAACTGCAACGAAACTGATTACTCTGATATTTAATATAAGGATGAGCAACATGTTTAGGAACGGACCATCAGCTTCAAATGTATTTTAAATACATGTATTTTAACTTGGATAAATGTGACTGTCGATATAATTTGCCTCAACTGACTTCTGCCTCATATAATTCACTAAAAGTGCCCCTGAGATATAAATGCATTCATTTTCAAGGCATTCCAGATTAACAATGGATATACCTATATGATGTAAAGTTTTTTTACAATAAAAATTTTCAGAATTTTTTAATCAATTTGAGAGAAGATACGTGGAATCTTTGTTTAGCGCAACTAAATATTTCAAAAAAAAATATTTTTTGTTTGAAAATTGCTGTTCGTTTAAAACCGCGGTACAGTTAAATGTATCTCCTTCAGCCATATAAAATTTAATTAATGATTTTCTTCCCACTTTTACTGAATTTCTAGATAGTTAATTTTGCACTCAAAGCTTAGCAGGGAAGCGTTCAGTCACAAAGTTTCTTCAGACTAACTTATGACTGCGAACTTTAGGCAGATAGAAAATAGTTTTCCATTGTTGACTAAAAAAGTAACTGGAAATTAAAGTTGCGTTAACACGAAAATTGTCAACGCGATTGAAATTACAGTTGCCAAATTTTCAATGGCACAAAAGTTTGCTCAAAAAACTTTGCATCCTTTTCCCGCAAGCTTTAAGAACATTGTTTCCTGCGAAGGTAATTTTTAGGTCGTGTTAAGTTTAAGTAATTGTAAAGCGTGGCGAGAATGAGAAAAGTCTAAATGAAAGTGCAAGTCACTTAACGAAGTGACAAAATAAAGCGTATGATAATAATTTCTGGCGACTTGTGCTGATAGGAATCATAACAGATTTCGACGTATAATTTAGAAATGCACATTTAATAGCGATAGAAATTTTAAATGAATTGAATTTGTGTTCAATTACAGAGCATGAGGAGATTCGGCCAGAAAAGAGAATGTTATTCATACAATCGAAATATCACAGCCCTGATTTTAGGGAACATTACGAATCGAATATAGAATACCATACTAATGTAGCTGAAGTAGTATTTTGTGACAATAATCATATAATTGTATAAAAATGTAAGCTAAACACCTTACCCCAGCCGTAAAATTACGCGTTGCAGAAGATTGAGTAAGATGGGTAAGTAAGAAGTAAGTAAGAAGTAAAATGGCTTATAACAAAACTATGATGCGAGTATGGAATTACGTGTACGACAGAGCCACGGTAATCATGAAATCAATTATAATTCCTCGGTCTAGAGATAATTATACGATTAATAAATGCAACATGTAGCCACAGAAAATTTGCAATTAAGTATGAAGAAAACAATCTGTCTGAATACAACGATAGAATGACGTTTTAGAAGCTAACTTGAAATAATGATCGAGCTCCAGTACCTAATGCTCGTAAAGTAGGAATATAATTAGGATGTTTATTTGCCACGAGCACACGTCACGGTCACTAAATACATAGCTTATTCTGCTCCTACATTTGTCAGTTCATCACATATATTAAAATTATCAGCCGACGGAAGTAAAGAAAAATTATTTGGTGCTTTATAAAAAAATTAGCCAAGTACCATTCATAATGATAAGAGACTGATTCATTTGAAAAATTTTTCAGGGGATACATGCAGTTGAGCTGGTGATATAATCATACTATTATGATAGTATAATAATATCATATATAATAATATCATATATAATTATATAGCTCGAGATTTGCACGCAGACAGACATCCAGGTAGCGTAACATAAGCTCACAAATGTCCTGGCGTTGCCCTGATATTACACTCTTCTTTTGAATTTACTATAATTTTCATGTTACCGTTGCTCTATATTTTTATGTCGTACTCTTCTTTAGTATTCAGTGAAATTTTATATAATTGATTGAGTTTTAAGATAAACGATGAATTAAAACCACTGATCTGGCGATTGAGGAATTGGGTAGAATTGTTTATTATCAATTTCTTTGAAACTCATCGGAAATAATTTGACTTCCAAAAACTGTTGTCACACAATCGATTTTGCAGGAAAAATATTCAACATCTTAAAGTGATAGTATCTCTGCTGATCTCTTAATCAGTAGCTGAGGAGTATGAATTGATTCAGTATGAAATAATTTAGAAAATAAAATTATAAATCCGAACTTATTTGAATAATACAGGGTTATTCAAATGATTGACTCGATTTGGTACCTTAATTATAAATTCAAAATGAATAATTTATTCACCAATAGAATGATGAAGATTCAAATTTCTTTTTATATATTTATAAGTTTTCAATGTGTCCTCCTTGTGCTGCACGGCAAACATATAAACGGTCGCCAAGCTCGTCTCACACACTAGAAATCTTATCTTCTGTTTCTGAGTGCACCGTAGCAGTGATACGGTTCTTCAGATCAACCAGAGTTGCTGGTAGAGGCGGGACCTAAACAGATTTGCTGGTAGAGGCGGGTCGTAAACAAAGTTGCTGGTAGAGGCGGGACGTAAACAAAGTTGCTGGTAGAGGCGGGACGTAAACAGAGTTGCTGCTGTCTCTTATACACATCTAGATGTGTATAAGAGACAGGACGTAAACAGAGTTGCTGGTAGAGGTGGGACGTAAACAGAGTTGCTGATAGAGGCGGGACGTAAACAGCTTTCTTGACGTAACCCCATAAGAAATAGTCACATGGGGTGAGATCAGGTGATCTCGATGGCCAGAAGTGTAAAGCCAGATCTTCATTTTCCATGCGTCCTACCCAACGCTCAGGCACTAGCGCTGCCACCCAACTCAGTGTTTGAATAGGTTAAAAATTTTTGTGTCATTTTATTTCCATTGGTATATAATTTATTCATTTTGAATTTATACTAAATACATACGAATTTTTTAAATTGGGTCCATCATTATAATTACCCTGCCTGTATGGTCAACCATGCACTAGAAAACCCGTTAAATTTATTCACTAAACATCTTAATTTTGGTCTGCCAAATGAGCAGCAGCATTTGAAGGCTTGGAAGGTCATTGCCGTTGAACTAACGTCAGAAGCTGAAGCTTTTCCAATTCACTTTGCATACTTTCAATCAGGTACTTAATTGGACGTAAAATATATCAGGAGTCGGCTTAAATGAAATAAAGCATGTCTCTAATACACGTTTCTTCAAAACATTTGCTGTATGACGTGTTTTTAAGTCTTTTAACTTTCTGTGTTTTTCAAAGATGTAAATTGTTCTCGGTATTCAAGTAAGGTACAACTAATTACATCGTCTCAAAAAGAATCAATCAAGTGAGATGTGATCGTGTTGTCAAATTTCGTGCAATGAACGCATGCTCTGATCGACGAAATTATTTTTATATAGCATTTACTACAACATTTTTTAGAACAAAAGTTGTTGGATTTCGATGGTAGACTTTGAAAGTATCCACTTGCCAATTGAAACTTAATCTTCTTGATATTCGATTGTTTAAGTCATGTAAGTATCAGTTTTTCTTGCAAATTAATCTTACCGAATTAATTTCCAAATTTAATTAATGGTTTGAAGAAAAAGACGAACCCCGGAGTCTGATTGCAGTGTCTGAAATTTTTTATTATGGTCAGCTAGCAGAGGCAAATAAGTGATCGAAAACTTTGTAGCATCATTCGAATATCTCAGCTCCACTTATTTTTAATTCAGTGGAATTTTGATATCTTCGATTAATTTTTTGCTCTCATTTTAATTTTACCGTCAATGATGTTGGAAACTGTTAGTAAATTCCATCAAAATCTCACGTTTCTAAAAATTCTTTCGAATGCAATATCAACTGAAATACGAATTGTAGCTCTCCGCCCATGCACCACAAAGCCTTCCGATGTGATTTGTCACTAATCTCGTTCAACTAATATAAAACACTAGCCTTCACTCACCAAAAATTCAGTACAACATCGTTACAAACACATTTATTACAGCAATTCTCATGGAGAAATATATCTAATACTGAAAAACCACCGGCCGAATTTAATCACACTACGGAAATTCATTATTCGAACTCCCTTCCCGAGTAAATTTTATTTCCTTTTCCTCAAAATTCACCACGAAATTTAAAACGACGGAGTCTCGTCTGAACGGAAATGGTGCAGCAAATATAATTCTCGGAACTGGCAATCAAAGTAAGGCCATTTCGGCTGTGTTTGTACTCACCAACGGCGATGCCTGTCCTGAAGTGTTTGTAGGACGTGCGTAGGAATGACACCAGAAATATTTTGATAATTTATTGGTCGTTTTCTCGGAGATTTTGTTCTAGTATATCATTATTCCTATTATTTTTTACTCCCGGTCGATTGACAGAAAATGTGAATATTTTTCACTGAGTTGAATATCTGTGAAAATAATTTATTAGTGATTAGTGAAGTAAATGAGATAAGTTATTGATAGGGTCAACAATTGTGAACCATGAAGATTAATGGATTTTTGTCATATTAAGTTCTTTTTCCTCGAACTTGCTTGGTTTTCTCTTGTTCAAGTGCTAAAATCTAATTAACCCAAAATCTATTAAATAAAATTTATGAATAATTTCTTGATGTAGTTGACCTACCGACACATTTTTTCCATTAGTTTAATGGCACTATGTTGAGCTCAGTAAATTTCTATTTAAGAGGCGAAATTTTGAAGAGGCAAAAATTTTAAGAGGCAAAATTTTCAAGAGGCAAAATTTTGAAGAAGAGAAATTTTGAAGAGGCGAAATTTTAAAGAGGCAAAATTTCGAAGAAGAGAAATTTTGAAGAGGCAAAATTTTGAAGATGCAAAATTTTGAAGAGGCAAAATTTCGAAGGGGAAAATTTTGAATCAAAACCACATTAATAAACCTAATAATAGAAAAGTGGGCTCGTGCAGCCCCTTTAGCGCTACTGCTCTTGGCCAATAATGAATGAATATGAAAAAAAGGCATTAGTGAACTAAGACACAAAGTCTCTGATCGTACACTAAGCCTTTTTAGCATTAAGGACCTCTTTAATAATTCCAAGCCAAATAGAATTTTCCTGATCCATGTTGTGGGTGTCCTGAATTTCCTACATCAGGCATTTACTTGAGATAAAATAATACAGGAAATGCCATGGAAATTTAAGAATTCCCTTAAAAAATCTATAATTTAAGCTCAAATTGTTGATACCCGTTCTCAGAATGTATGACTGAGCGAGTCTCCGCAGCATTGTTAACGAATTTTAGTGAACAATTTGTTAATTTTATTATTAATTTATTTGTGTTACTGTTTACCTCGGTTATGCAATTTTCTCACTACCTCAAATTAAAATAAATTGATGCCATTCTCATTCGCGGGCCTATTTTGCCGAAAAAGGTTTCTGAATTTTTCTGCATCATTCGAAAAGTTTACTCGAGACTTTAACCAAACAGTCGTTCCAGGAACTGCGGAAATGACGCCCGAGCCACGAATTTCGATGCACGAAATCTTCTCCGTTCAATGTGGGATATTCTGGCATACTAATAAAAAATAATAATTTATTTAACTAAGAATTGTACGTTCTACGGCAAAGAAAAAATAATTTCTTTCGAAAATCAACTACTTTCAGATAATTAGATGTATTATAATGACAAGAAAATAGAATTTTGAATTATTTGAAAATATTGTTTAATTTACTAAAGTTACTAAGGTTATTTAGGCGTTGAAAGCTCGTCTTCAAATTAAAATCAATAAAATTGATAGTGTAGACGGTGAATTGTAGTTCTAGCATCGAAACTTTGGAAAAATTACATTTCAGCGTGAAAATTCGAACGCTCACGAACACATTAACAACGCATTTCGGTTGTTGTCCGTTGTTCTACATGCAAAATTATCACAAAAAAAATATTTATGAAGTACAAGAAGAAATATGAGAATACAAATTCAAACATATAATAAAAATAATTTTAATTATAGTAAAAAACATTAAATTTTATTTATATATGATACTACTTTAGATTTTTAATAATATTTTTTTTACACTGGCTAGGCTGGTCTCTAGTTACGGAAGATAATTTGTATTTTAGAAAGAGAAGGCATAGCTGGATAAAAAACCTTTCAATAATGATCAAGCATCATCATAATTAAGTCCAGCAAAATTTTGGTGCCTCATTTATTGACCAGATTTTACTGGCAAGGTAATTTTTATAAGACCTGTGATGTTAAATACATGTTAATTTTCAAAACGATTTCATAAAGAACGGATATTACAATGAGCGGCAAAAGTCTACGGTATTTGAACCAATATTTGATTTACTCTATTGAACTTGACTTGGAATTAACAACCGACGTAAACATCGTTCTGAGAGTATAAACATATGTTTCAAAAAATTTCTCTTATACTCGAAGATGAATATTTTATCGTCTAGAATAAAGTCCAAATAAAACCAAATTATTATCATTATTGCTTTGCGGCAATAATATTATTCAAAATTTTTATCCATAGTGGTGAGAAAATACATAACAGGGAGCCTCTTAAGCTACTCTACTAGATGGGATTTGCACGTAATCTTTGGATTGTTCATCCTAAGTATTGGCTTTAAAATGCTCATCCGCATGCTTGGAAACAAATCTACCAAGTCGAAGAAACTTAATATCCGAAGAATGATTTATTTACTTTGAATGTATCTTTAATTTGTCGTTAAAGATTGTAAAGTTTGATTCTCCGTCACAGAAAACAGGTCACGACTTCAGGCAGCGCTCAACAAGTGCCAGTTACTCGCATGACGGAGCGTTGCAGTCTCACTCTCCTCTTCGAGGCCCCGATGCACTCTGCCACCAAGCGACCTGCTCACCGCTATTTATACCTTCCTCGGCTTCTGGCAAAAATGCACCTGATCCATCGGGCGTGTTCGCTCCAGCAGTTCAACTGACGCGTGGGTGACGAGTAAGTTTTCTGTATTTCGCGCTTCGACATTTGTTATTTATTCAACTATCAAGTAATACTTATTCATATATTCTAATCGTGTTTATGGATCTTAGCTGAATATCCAGGAGTACTTTGGGAAACCGATTGAAGAGAAGAACAATAGTAACCCATATGTGGGAGGTAAAATTAAGTTAAGATGTTGATGATCCTGTTGCGAATTCAAGGCAGAAATGTTTTATGATAAAAGCAGGGACTAGGTTGTGAGGGACTAGTTTCGTTCGTGTAGGGAGAAGTCTACCAGGATAGGAGATCCAGGACCAGGATCTACCACAAGAAGCCGTTACGTCTTGAAGATTCTGTGTTGGTTCGATTTCGAAGATATCAGACTGGGTTCTGATACTGAACTCTAATACTGTTTTTGTAATTAATAGAAACTATAGCGTACGGTGCACTGGAAGCTCTGTGCTGAGCTCTAAGCATATGAATGATCAGTACTGTGCTATGAAACTAAACTCTAAACCTATGTTATATTTAATTTTCTTCAAATGTTCTTAATTTAAGTGTTCATTCTTCGTTTAATTAAGGTAATTGTGTTAACGAGGAGATCTTTATTGAAATTTGGCACGAAAGATCATTACAGAAGTTCGTTCGATGGCAAAATAACAATAGGAATATTTTTCTGTACTGGTCACATAAGAATGAAAGGTACGCGTATACAGCGTGAGGCTTGTGAGCCTTTCTTATTATACTTTTCCTGATTTTTAAAGTTCTTTTTATATGCATTAACCGCAAATGGAACTGGACTCACTTAACTGCGTTATTCGTTTGATTCGACGTTTATTTTGAGACGGTTAGTGATGTGTAAGATTTCCACATTATGATGCGCATTATGTTTGGCATGGTAGTATCGTCATAAACAGTACCATGTATGTATGTCATAAATGATTTCTTAGTCTGCCATAGCTATTATAGCGTGTCTGACGCATTCGTATGCTTCCCTTTTTTATTGGCATCTCAAATTCTAATGTTACATACAGGTATTGCCATAAGAGCTTCCCTCAGGCCACTTTATTTTGTTTATGCATTTTTTTGTTATGGAATTTTGCGAGTCAAGATATTTAAGATGTGACCTGCGAATACAGAAAAAGTTAATGGACTAAATTTGCGCATCAAGCGTAGGAAGAACCACATCAAGCAATTTACCGTTTAGTGGATTCTTAATTCAACTATTTTAACTGATGAATACGTTCAATGGTTTGTGAAAATCCAACCTTCGCGTATCGACGTTTGACCCAAATGTAAATTAACATCCGTAATCTAATATAAAGTCCAATTAATGAGTTAACAATTAGACTTAAGGTTAAATTAATCGTGTCATAGTAGGCGACCAATTGTATTGGTGGTTTACGAAATAGAAGTTTAATAGAATAATTTTAATTACTCATTGCATTTATAATCATGTGAACTGAACAATTTATAACCGTAATAAAATAAAATTTTCATGTTTTTAATTCAGTCCTGATGAACTACGATACGTTGAATATTTCGGTGGAGGTCAAAGAGGTGTTACGTTTATTATAGCGAATATATTCAGAATTGAAGCGCCCACTCGACGCCATGGTGACAGTCCAGTAGCAATTTAAAACAACTTTCGTAGAAGTAAAATATCTGGTTAAAAGCCCAGTTTTTATATCTTCTGGTAACAAGTCACGAAAATTACAAGAATCTGCAACAGGCAAACCTGGCCTATGTCCTCAGTGGCGACACTGCTACGCTACACAGGTCTGGTGGCCTCATGTTTGAACATAGACATTACATTTGCACAGTGCATGAGTGCATGAGTACTATATTACAAACTGCTATCATAAGAAACAGTATCACATTGCTAACAGGCGATAGCGGGTCATCACTTATACGGAAAATATTATCTGATAAATATTAATCTAACTAAATCTATATTGCTTCAAAATATTGCTTTCATAATAGCTTTTTTCATTCTGCAGATGCTAGTGAGATGTTAGCGCTCGCTACCTAACCAGTGTTCTTTTTTAATTTCATTTTTGTGAGTAAGTTTCACCTACTTTTTGTTAGTGTTAACTATTATAAGTGCTAAGCGATGTAATATTTTTCAATATTTTTTTTCTGACTGAATCGGGTCAATTTCTCGTGTTTAAATGTCATTTACTCTCGTTTGCTCCGTGACCTAGGTTCATTTCTTGATTACCAGCCCATATAAGACAGTAGTTTTAGAGCAACCAGTTGAGTGCAACGTTAGTCCATGAGCCAGCAATTAAAACTTGGACCGTAACTGAATTCAATTTGAGCGCCCAACTGTCATGGGACCGATAGAACGATCTTCTAAATGAGCCACCAGCGCTACGCTGCTCGCTGACCATCAGTGGAGCAATGACGATAACAACGAAACCTGCAATGTCATTTTAGATTATATGCGAGATTTGCGTTATCGCGT